GGAGCCGTACTGAGGCGGGCTGGGCTCGGCGCTCTGGTCAATATTCTCTTCCGGTCTCTGGGCCGAGGCCCAGTGTGCCTCCAGCTCTTGTGACTCTTGCTCCTTGTTCTTTTCATGGCTGGGGAGCCAGCCAGCCACTGGAACAGGGAGCAAAGGCAAACGTCAGTCACAGGCCTGGGGGATGAACCCTCTGGGACACCAAAGGAGGGGAAGGCTGGGCGTGTGCTTACACCGCTAGGTTCCTGCAGGCTCCTGGGGCGAGCTAGGGCAGAACATTTCGCCTCTCTGCACTTCCTTTCCCAGCGGCTAATGAACAGCAACCTCTCCCTTCCTCCCAGGGCATTGGGAGGGTAAAGGCTACACAGACTGGGAGGTGCTCTCCGCCAACATCCCCACAGCTACCTCACCACCCAGCTCCACGTTCCTCTGGCCCTGGGGCTGCCCTGCCTGTTATCCGGACCAATGCTCCCCCTGTTCCTGTGTTCTCCCATCCATTTCTACCCACGGCTTGGCTGGTCTCACACTTGCACTGTAAGTCCCTGGGGGCAGGGACTGCCTCTTTGTTCTGTACGGTGCCTAGCACAGGGGGCCCAGGCCAGGGCTCTTAAGAACCACGGGAGCACCAATCAGAAGGATAAGAAAGCTCCGGCAGGACTCCGATCCCACAGGGGTGGGGCTACCTAAGCGACAGCTGGAGATGCAAAGGGAGCTGGCCTGGCCTGGGATACAAACTCTCCCTGCTAGACAGGCAAGATTCTACCTGGGCTCGGCACGGAGATTTCTGCCTAAATCCCTACGTGGGGGACCCCCAACGGGCCGAGTCCTGCACTCGGATCGCCCACGCGGCTCCCACTGGTCGCACCGGGATCAGTCAGCAGGCAAGCGAGCCTAAGGACATCTCTTGTCCCTGAGCCCTCCTGCCAGGGAAGGAGGGGGCGGTGGATCTATCCCGGCATCTCTCCAGGCCCCATCTCCGGGACAGCAGCTGAGCACCCCAGGAGCTAATCAGCCCAGCCCAGCCCAGCCCCACAGGGTCCCACTCCTGCCCCCAAACAGTCTGTCGCACAAGAACAGCACTCCTCTCCCTGCTGTGACTGAGGCACGTCACGAGAACGCTGCTCACCCTGGACCACAGCAGAGTGTTGGAAGAACAAAGCTTTCGCTCGCGTTCCTGCGTGTAGGTCACACTGCCGGGGTTCAGACTCCCGTGGGCCTAGCACACACCTGCCATGAGCTCTGTAGGGGCTTCTCCTCCTCCTGCAGCCTGCTGCTCCTCCGCAATTGGCTCTTCCTCTTGCTTAATCTGAACGGCGATTTCGAGGACAGACGTCGCAGTCTCTGGCCATGGGAAAGAGAACCCAGTGAGGAGGCTCGAAGGATTAAATCAATAGCTGGGACCTCGTGGGCACGCCTGGAGAGCCAAGACTCGAATAACCTTTCCCACACAGACACTGGCATCCGAACCACGTCCTATTGGTCATGCAGCTCTTCCCCTTTTGGAAACTGGGCCATAACAACCCTTTCCCGAGGCCCAAACCTCCCTCTCTGGAGCAGGCACTGACTGAATAGGACCGGCCAGGCTACAGAGGCCCCAGAGGAAACAAACCAAGTGGTTACGTGCACTGAGTAGTCACACACTCAAAGAGGAGGGACTAAAGCCAGAAGTCATTTTGATTGGCAGAGAATCTCTGACGTAAGCAATCTAAGGATAAAAACACGGTGAGCAGCTCTAAGGGCAGATGAAGGCTGAAGTTACAGGGCTCGTCTCCCCGGCAGTCTGAGCCAATGTCCTCCATCCCTCACCTGCGCTGGGCTCTGCAAGGGTTTCTCTCGCCTCGGACTCCTGCTGACCCCTGGCACACGGCTCTTCTCCTCGCTCAATCCGGGACAGGATGTCAGGCTTGGAAATTGCATAGTCTGTTCACGGGGAGGACACGGGGCTATTAATAGAGAGAACCTGTAGAATTGCGAGGGCTTTTACAATCAGTCCCCTCCAGGTCTGTGTGTGGCCCCCCAATCATCACTCCCTTACGCAGGGACGTCGGTTCCTTGCACCGCGTCTGCATGACATACCCTGTGGGCAGAACTGACTGCCACGCACCCAGCAGCCTCTTGGCATCTTCACATGCAAGGACCTAAGTTACGGTAAGTACAGCGGTGCCAGCGGGAATCGTACTCGTGTTCAAGTCAGCGTAAGAACAAAACTATGGCACAGCAGGTTTTCCGCACATGATAAGTAAATATAACCACTAGTCAGGTCCAGAGAGCACTGACCACTGAGCACCACCACCACGCTGGACACTGGCTATCTGCCTCACAGAACTGATTGCATGAAGACCCGCGTGGCCCCCAGAACTCAAATGAGTGTGAGGACACACACGGCTGGTGGAGTCAAGCCATCGCTCCGGAGGAGCAAACACTTTCTGATAAGAACGTGGCAAAAGCTTCTTACCCAGTGAGATCATATATTCATAATTCCCCTTCATCACATTCTTGTACAGCTCCTTCTGCCAGTCTTCTAAGTTCTCCCACTCGTCCTGGGAGAAGACCGCGCCGTCCTCAAACATCACTGGCACCTGAAACCAAACATCCATTCAGCACTTGGATTTAAGTCATACGTGCTATACTGGTGTCATTACCGTAGAAACCAAGACAGGATGTGCCTAAAAGGTCAATAGATTGAATGCGGAAGATGGGCATTTTTTAACTTTTTTTTGCTCAACAACTTTTCCCCTGGAGTACCAGCACCTTTTTTTTTTTTTAAACACAAAAAGCACTGCCAGGAACCATCATCCTAAATGGGCAATGCCCCCCCCCGTTCTAGTTAACCAGTAATGAGGGAGGGAAGGAGCAGAGCTGGAACAGCTCCCCACCTGCTGCGGGCAGGGGGCCGCTCCCGCCCTGCTGGGGGCCTGCTGTGGACAGGCGCTGTAGCCCAAGCTCATGTGTGGGGCTGGGAGCTGGTTAACCGGTTAAATGCGAGGCACAGCTAACGTTTAACCAGTTAACTGATTAACCGGGATTTGACATCCCCATTGCAAAGCTACTAGAGTTAGACACGTTCAGGGCCGGGTCATGGGAGGGTTACAGAGCCAGGCTTCATTACAGGAGGGGACCGGATCACAGGGTGTGCAGGGAATGTGGGGAGAACACAGTCCCCTTCCAACAGCTGATCTCAGTAACTTACTCTCACTCCTGGGCCAGGGCTGGTAAGTGCTTCTCTCCTGTCCTAACAGGGCTTCACCGGCTGGCCTGGAGATTGGGGGGCTGCCTGCATGCCTAAGAACAAAGGACCCTCTGCTCTCATGGGAGGCTAAACTCGCCCCAACAGCCAGCATAAGAGAGCTGCAGTGGTGCTGAGGATGAGAGCCCCAGATAGATGGTACAGGACGAGTTCTAGACAAACAGCCAATGAACCCCGCAGACGTACAGCCACTTCCCAACTTATAAACACCCGTACTTATGACCAACCTCCCATTAAACCCATTAGAATATTTTTGAGTTGAGAACCATGTATGTCAAGTTTTTAGAACAGCATGGGCAGCGCGTTTAAGGGTATTTCCGACTTACGACCAAATCGAGTTATGACCAGGTGTTCGGAATGTAACCCGTTCATAAGTCGGAGACTGCCTGCACTGTGACTCGCCACCGCGAGTAGCTAATGAAGACACTGACTCTGGTCAAACCATTTTGCAATGGGGAATTAAGGAACTCTGGGTCAGAAATCTGAAAAATCTAGGGCTGTCACTGAATCGCAGTTAACTCACGCAATTAACTCAAAACACATGCACTTGACTTAAAAATGGCAATTCAGCACAGTTTTTATCACACTGTTATACAACAATAGAATACCAACTACAATGTATCTACTATATATATTTGAGAGTCTGTGGGTCTGTCCCTCTGTCTGTTCAAGAATTCCTCCTAAGCAGTAAGAACTAGGACCGCCAGATGTGGTATACAGCTTCCTCCTGTCATAACGGAAAGCAAGGGCAGGGTTTGGTTGTGCCAGGACAACGGGATGTGCCCAGAATGGAATTGCTTCCCAGAAAACCATATAGCAGAGACAGAATCATCAGGCAGGTGAAAGGGGCTGGCTGGGGGCACGGCCCCCTCCCTAGGACTACCCCAGGAACTCCCCCCCAAGATGCCCTTTAGGGTGGGTGCGGAGTGGTGGTGTATGAAGGACCCCCCCTCAGTTTGTACAGGGACATGGCTGGCTGTTTCCCTTCATCAGGGAGTGAGGGGAAAGTGCACAGTTTCGTGCAATCTTCACTTTGGCTGCAGAGCGCAGGGGGCAGATGAACCTGGACCTGCCCCAACATACAGCCTTCCCCCAGCTGTGCCCGCTGGAGCTGCAGCAGCCATGGATAGGCGCTTCTCATCTGGCCCCAATCTGCTGCAGTGAGAGAGGGCTGGGGTTATCATCTCTCCCCAGGTTAGCCTGCAAACTGAACCCCTCCTCCCCAGCCCCACCGCAGGACAAAGATTGAAATGAAGCTGGGACATTTCATTTCATCTTCCAAAAACCAAAAATTAATTGAGTTAAAGGCCCAAGCAATCATCTGTGTGTGTGTGTGTGTGTGTGTGTGTGTGTGTGTGTGTGTGTGTGTGTGTGTGTGTGTTTTATATATTTATAAATAAAAATTTAGTTTTATCTACGAAGAATCATGTCTTAGTATTTGTATATACAGTTTGTTTCAGGCAGGAGGGCTTTTAATGATACTTACATGTCTAATTAATTTGAGTGGTCATTTAAATTTATTGTAAAAGCGGAAGTTATAAATGGAGATTTATTTTGCTACATAACTGCACTCTAGACAAAACAATGTAAAACTTGAGACTCTACAAGTCCACTCAGTCCTTCTTCTTATTCAGCCAATCACTCAGACAAACAAGTTTGTTTACATACATAGGAGATAATGCTACCATGCTGATAATGCTCATTAAGAAAACAATGGGCTAATTAAATCTGTGACAACTCTTTGAGGGAACATTCATTGTCTGTCTCCTGCTCTATGGTTTTAGCCACATTTTGCCATATATTCCATGTTACAGTAGTCCTGGATGATGACCCAGCACATATTCGTTTTAAGAATACTTCCATAGCAGATTGGTACTTGCTTTGCATTTTGTCAAATGCGAGATTTCTCAAGATAGCCACAGCACTCGGACTAAGACTGAAGAATCTAAAGTGTCTACCAAAATCTGAGCGGGTATAGAACTTACTCTTTTGACACTTCTGAGGGTAACACTCCAATCTGAAAACTACAGAACCCGAACCACCAAAAAAGCAAATCAACCTTCTGCTGGCGGCATCTGACTCAGATGATGGAGACAAACATGGATCAGTTCACACTGCTTTGGACTGTTATCGAGCCGAATCTGTTATCAGCATGGACACATGTCCTCTGGAATGGTGATCGAAGCATGAAGGGGTCTATGAATGGTTAGCACAGTTAGTATGTACATACTTTGCAAATCGGCTACAACTGTGCCACGCAGACACCTGTTCTCAGAAGAAGCAGGCAATATTATTTCCCATAAATATAACAAACTTGCTAGTCTTCGCAACTGGTTGAACAAGGAGGAGGACTGAATGGACCTGTAGGCGCTAAGGTTTTACACGGTTTTATTTTTGAATGCAGTTATGTAAAAAGAAAACATAAGTCTACATTTCTAAGTTGCACTTCACGATAGAGACTGCACCGCAATATGTGTAGGAGTGAATGAAAATACTATTTTTTTTTTACAGTGAAAATATTTGTAGCAAAAATATAACGTGAGCGCTGCACAATTTGTATTCTGCCTTGTAACTGAAATCGATGTATTTGAAAATGTAGAAAATGTGCAAATATATTTAAATAAATTCTTGTTTAACAGTGTGATTCCAACTGTGATTCATTACTTTCTTTAATCATTTGGCAGCCCCAGAAAAAATCGCTTCATTACCCAAATAGAGGCTCAGCCTTTACTGCCTGTACTGACAGACACCGATACCTTGGGGGCTTCTCCATTAACACCAGGGGGGAGTCTAAGGATCCAGAAGTTCCTGTTCTTCAGCAGGTTCTCCATGTTCTCCAGCCGCCGCTGTAACAGCCCGTACTCCTGGATTAGCGTCCCCAGCACTGTCCACTTACTCTCCAGCTGGTTCCCAAACTCCAACTCTATTTTCTCGCACTCAAGTATTTTCTTCTCGTCTGTCCCTATTCTCCCCTCCAGACTCAGCAACCGTGAGGCAAACGAATCCACCTTTCTCTCCACTGCTTGGATGGCAGCCACGAGGGTCCACATAGAAATCTCTGCTGTTTGCACAGATGTTCGTTCCAGGACAGCGGGGGTTTGTAATGACATCAGGCGCTGGGCATCCCATTCCTGGGCCTGTTTGCAAGGGGGCAAGACGGAAAATGGAGCTAGAGCCACATTTCCAAGTGGCAAAGTCAGATACAGAGACCCAGCACAAGACCCATTCACATGCCACAAACCCCTCTGCACCATGTGATCTTTGGTCCAACATGTCGCTGTCCTGATGTGAGAAATGAGGTCTTTCGACATCTGTATTAGAATTATAAACTCCTTGACATGAGGTTTAAGGGAGCCTGACAGCTTGCAAATGACTCCATTTGTGAAGTGAGAGTTCAGACTAGCTTCAGCTGTTACACCTGTCCTTTAGTTTGCTTGCTGGTTTCTATGACCACACTCTCCTAATTTGTGTTACGTTTCTCTCCTCTGTTGCTGTGTGAAAGACCCAGGCAAAGAGGGGAAACGGATACACCTTGGGGAAATAGTGAAAATGCCTACACAAAGGGATGTCAAATGCACCATGCAAATAAACAAAGAAAAGAACCTATAATTGTTCTCTAATTTTGTTCTATTATAGTCCTTTTGTGCTGCTACTTGTAATGCTACTAGTGATTTTAAGTTGATGCCTCCTTAAAGTTTGCAGATGCTACGTTGTGTAAAATCACCTTGCTCCTACCTGCTGCACGAGATAGGCTACAAACAAACAACACAAGCAAGTGTGTGTACACTGCACAAACAGCTAGTTGTTTGCAAAGCAGTTTTGGAGGCAGCCAAACCCTATGCCTGCTGGTGGCTTGAGCATTTTAAACTCAATGCCAAGTGTGTTTAGTTGGAAGAAGCTTGTGAAATGTAGGACGCCTATTGGCACTCACAGCCCAGTGAATTCATAGAATCATAGGACTGGAAGAGACCTCTGGAGTCATCGAGTACAGCCTCCTGCCCAAAGCAGGACCCAGGGCTTTGGAGCAGAGCCTGGAGCTGGAGCGCAGAGCAGTGGAGCTGCAGGTTTTTGCCTGGAGCTAGAGCGGAGCCGGAGCATAGAAAATCTTGACTGCTCCACCGCTCCAGGTTTTTTTTTTTCATTTTCAGTCCAAAATGAATGATATTTTAGCAAGAAAGTCCTAAAGGTGCCAAAAGTTTCAGACTGTATAACAATTGATATTAACATTTACTTTACCACTTTACATAATATGTCACAGTTATTCTCACTTCAGATGAAATCAAGATTTAATGTACAGATACAAAAATAAAAAGTTTTTTGGAGATATGTTTTATTAAAGAATCAGATAATTATCAGACATCTGGCAACACTGCAGACTGCTCCCACCCTTGTGCCAAGGTTAGGCGAGTACGAACTTGCGTAGATTAGTTAGATAGCTAGATTAGTATGTGTTTATTTTCAACCTTGTAACGTGTAGCCTTGTTACTTCCCAACAATTAATGTTGTAGAACAGCAATAGCACGTACTAACGCTTCGGCACATACCAAATTTCATGGATATATCTATATTAAAGCATTTTTGAGATATTAATTAAAAACTTGGAAAATATTTTGAATATTTCTACCGCAAAATTTCATAAGAAAAACTAACTTGCAATTTATAAATAAAAATTTATATTAATTATATATGTTAAAAATACTTCTTACTTCATTAAAACTGCAAGAAACATGTTAAAATATTAAAATATACTTTAATAAAAAATTTGTGTAAAAAGAAAATGCGATCATTTTTGTCCAGAAAATCCAAAATAAATTCAAAGTATCCTAAGTGGTTAAGATATCACAAGCAGGTACATTATAAAAAAAATGTAATGTTTGTTCATTGTTTTTCGAAGATCATAACAAGAAACATTTGGTTGTGGTAGCAGCACAAGAAGATCTGGCCATGGCTTCAACAAAAAAAATCAAATCTGCCCCCATGATTGATAGCCGATTTACAGAAAAGGATTTCAATAATGTCTTTACTTTTGAATTTGAAAAGCCCAAATTTGGGCTTTTGGGAAAAGCAAAGAAGAAATCGGCAACGTGCCAGGTGGAAAAGGAAGTGAATGGCGAGCTCAAACCATGTAGCTTCAAGACAAGTGAAGCAAGTGCCATGAAAAGTTACAACCTTTGGCGGCATGTAAAACGTAACCATCCAGAAAACTATGCAGCTCTGGTTACAAAAAAGGACCAGGAAGATGAGGCAAAACAGAAAGCTGACACGGCTAAACGACGTTCATCTGGCTCTTTGAAAACTCCTGGAGAAAAGATTTTTTGCGGAGCTTCATCTGAAAAGAAACCCAAAATTGAGCAAACAAAACTTGACTCATATTTGAAGTCCTCAAAGGTTACAATCACCATGGATGCCAATACTTTCAGTGAAAGGCTGATGGAAATGGTTTGCTTGAGTTCAACACCGCTCACTACCTTCAGACTAAAGAACAAAGGATTCCAAAAAATTGCAAGTGAAATGGGTTGGCAGCTTGGCGTTTCGACGGGGCACGATGCAGTTCGTCATTTAGTTGTCAGCACAGCTGAGTCTGGTCGCGAAGAGCTCAAGAAAGCTTTGGAGCAAAAATTGTGCTACCTGAAAATGGATGCGGCAACCCACGGAAACAGAAATTTCCTTGCAATCAATGCTCAGTACTATGAAGAAGGAAAAGATAAAGCTGTGGTAAAAACCTTGGACATAATCGACACTGAAGGGCGTCACAATTCTTCCTATGTGAAAAGTCAAGTAAAAGCTATTTTAGAAAAATCTAGGATCAGTTAAATGCAAGTGCTGAGAGTCTGCATTGACAATGCAGCAAACATGACGTGTGCCATCAAAAATTTCAGTGAGGACAATGAAACCATTTCTACCTCTGAGAACAAGAATGTGGACAGAACCAAAGCTATTTTGCTTGATGAAGGAACTAAAGGAATGGATGAAATCAAACTCAACATGGATGCTGCTGCACAATGGGTTAATGACCCTAACCTCATGCTTACAACACAACTTCATGAGGACGACTCAGAAGTCCAACTGATGAGCTGTGATATTCACACTCTTCAGAAGTTGGCAATCTGAGATGGACTGAACAAAACATGAAAAGAAACTTCTGGCAAAAATTCAACAAGTTGTCGTCAAACTACGAACCCCAAGTATTCAAAGTGTTCTGCATGATCTACATGGGGTAGCTCAGTCATTGGATACTGTGACTCACTGGGGTTCAACATTTGCAATGATTCATTGGCTTCTTGTTTTTCAGTCTTACTGTGAACAAGTAAGGCTGCTGCTGGAACAAGAGAACTCAGGTTAACAAAAGCTGAATGGGACAAAATGAAGAACCTGCAAGACCTCTTGGCAAAGCCAAACCAAACAACCGTGAATCTTCAAGCTGTTGATGTAACCCTGGGAGTTTTAATGAAGGAATGGTGAAAACTGTAAAAATTCTTGCAAGAAAAAGGTGGACAAATTGCAGAAGGAATTCTGTTCTCCCTGCAGCAATGCGATGAGAAGCTTTTTGACAATATTCATTTCCTTGCTGGAATTTGTTGATCCACGGATGGGATTCTTCTTACCTCAAGGGAAATACCAAAGGCAAAGGAAGGGCTACTTGATATTGCTCAATGACTCGAAAAACAAAATCTATTGCTACATTTGAACTCTGTGAAAGAGGTTGAAGAAAACGAAACACAACAAAAGGAGTCATCAACAATCGAATTTGCGGTTTCAGAAAGTTCACATCCTTCAGAAATAGCAGGCTGCTCTCAAACTTCCATCTCCACTCTGAACTTGTTCGAGTGTCCATCCCTGAGATGTCTTCAACCATCACAGGGAAAAGGAGATAATTCAAGCACCAATTCTTCAGAAGATGACGACTTTGAAAAGGAATTGGATTAACAAGAAAGACGCCGGCAAGTTTCTGCGATTCATAATTGTAATGAAGCATTATTCGAGAGAAACTTTTGGGAAGATGGTGAGGCGATGGAGTCTATTGGTAGGCTAAAAGTTAAGTCTGTTTTTGAGTCCATTTACAGCTACCCACACCGCATTCAGGCTGCCTGTAGAATTGCTTCGAGCATGCCAACAACTCAAGCTAGTGTAGAGCGACTAGCTGTTTTCAGCTTTACAGTTAATTTTAAATGATCTGCGGCAGGCCATGGAAGACGACTTGATAGCTGCAATATTTTTTTACAGATTGAATTATGAATGATTCTAGTTTGTATCATTGTTGATGACATTTAAATTGTTTTAAAAAACTGAAAATAACATTTTTTCAAAATTACAGTATGCACTTTTTTATTTAGTTAAAAATTAATTGGAGTTGAAGCGTGGAGTGGAGTCGAAGCAGTCACTATTGGTGCCAGAGCAGAGCTGGAGCGGAGCAATTAAAAATTGTGATTGCTCCAAATCCCTGCTTTTGCCCACTCCTACAGTAGAAGAATGTGATTCAGAACCGGACAGCAGGAAGGATCATTTTAAAATGAAGAATCACAGTAACAGTCAGAATCGAGGCTGCTTTTCAAGTACCCTTACACAAGACAGAGCACAAGTGGATTGCTGCACACAGCTCAGAGGGAAGCAGAAAGAGTTGACCGTGTGAAGCATAAGACAAGGCGACAGAGACAGACAAAGGAAAGTATGAGTTAAAAAACGAGACAGTACTGATCAGCATGGTAGGCAGTGGCCTCTGCACACCAACTGCCTAATCACTGTCAAGATCTTTGCAGGCCTGGAGAGAGGAAGGGGAGGAGTTTTCAGGTATTTCTTCACACAAGGCAATCAACCTGTGGAACTCCTTGCCATAGGTTATTATGGAGACCAGGACTATGTAACAGGGTTCAAAATGGAAATAGAGACATTCACGGAGGTTAGGTCTATCAATAGCTGTTAGCCAGGATGGGTAGGAATGGTGTCCCTAGCCTCTGTCTATCAGACGCTGGGAATGGGTGACAGGGGAGGGATCACTTGATTCCCTGTTCTGTTCACTCCCTCTGGGGCATCTGGCATTGGCCACTGTGGGAAGACAGAACATTGGGCTAGATGGACCTTTGGTCTGACCCAGTTTGGCCTCTCTTATGAGCCAGTGGGAGGATTCAAAGCAGGGAGCGACATGCTCAAAGCACTAAGCTAGGAAAGTGATTGGACATGGCCAGGCAAAATGGTCTCTGCCAAGGCTGGGGGGAAGGAGGTTGCAGTAACTGTGGTGCAAATGGATGAGAACCTGGCTGAGCATTTCAGTCGTGCGGCTGGACAGGAAAGGCCGTCTCTTTGGGTTGTCACGCAAAGAGAATCAGCAAGATTTACCAGATGAGAGGACCTAGCAATGGGTCTGAGTTGAAGATGAAGCCCAGGTTACAGGCCCAAGTGCCAGGCAGGATGGTGATGCTGCCCACAACGATCAGGGAAGGAGGTGGCAGGGCAGACGGGGGGGACGGGAGAAAGGCTAGGAGCTCTGATGTGGCCATGTTGAGCATAGGCTGACTGCTAGATACCCACAAGGAGATGCCAGTGAGACGGGCTGAGAGTTTAGCTTTGCCAGAAGCAGAGAGGTGGCTCTGGGAGTCATCAGCTCAGACTGCTGACCTTGTGCCTGCAGATGAGATTACCCAAGGACCAGGTGCAAAGGGAGAAGAGACAGACACTGTACAAATTCGAGATGGCCCATGTCCGCAAGAGCGTTGGTAGGAAGGACTCAACGCGGCAGACATCTGCCCAAACAGCCTCCACGTGTGAGCAGTCTCCCTGAGGTCAAGGGACACCATCCATGGCAGAAGTTGCCCAAATGTAAAAGCATTTGTGGGATCAGGAGCCACGCAGGGCAGGGAAACGAGGGAGGCAGGGCTGGAGAGCCGAGGGCCGGTTTGAAGGAAAGCGAGTCTAGTTTGCACATGGACAGCCAGCCAAAGCCAAGCCCCTGGCTGATCGCACAAACCTAGCAGTGAGCCTGGAGCCACTGTTGTCGCCTGGCAGTGGGGGGGGAGGGGACGGGCATGCGTGGAGACACTGGCCTGGGACACAGGCTATGTCTACACTGGCGGGTTCTTGCGCAGAGGGTCCACACTGCCCACCTGCTCTTGCAGAGAAGATTTACAGTAAAGCGTGGTAAGAGAGGGCTTCTTGCGCAAGAGCTACACTCTTTTCTAACAGGGGTAAGCCCTCTTGTGCAAGAGGGCAGTGTGGACACAGGGCAGGAGTTTCTTGTGCAAGAAAGCCCTATGGCTAAAATGGCCATCAGAGCTTTCTTGTGCAAGAGAGCCTCCACACTGCCATGGACCCTCTTGCACAAAAGCACAGGGTAGTGGACCTGTTCTTGTGCAAAAACCCGCCAGGGTAGACATAGCCACGAGGGGCAGCGGGAAGGCAAAGGCTGCTGGCACCGGCCACACGCCAAGAGGTGCCTTGTTCGCTGGCTCCAGACACTTCGCTGGGCGGAGCGCCGGGGTAGCTGGGCACAGCCTGCGGCAGCCCCGCAGGGCGCAACACCCAGCCCGGGACGAACAGCTCCCCTTTCCTGGC